CTTAGAATGGGTGTTACATGTCCAAGTGAGATCTAGATCTTGAAGCCTGGGTGTTAGGGTCTTGGTGTCTGAGCTATGCAGGGATGGAGAGGGTCAGGACATAGACCCTGTAGGCAGGGAGCTGGGCTGAACAACTGTGCTGACTAGTTGTATGTCAACTTGATACAAGTTAGGCTTATCTGAAAGGAGGAGACCTCAATTGAGAAAATGCCTCCATAAGCTACAGGGCATTTTCTCAACTAGTGACAGGAGAGAAGAGGATGCAGCCCATTGTAGGTGATATCATTCCTGGCCTCGTGGTCCTGAGTTCTACAAGAAAGCAGGCTGAATACATCATGGGGAACAAGCCAGTAAGCAGCACCCCTCCATGGCCTCTGCATCAACTCCTGCCTCTATGATTCTACCTTGTTTGAGTTCCTGACTTCCTTCAGTGATGAACAGCAATATGGAAGTGTAAGCCAAATAAACCCTTTCCTCCCTACTTGCTTTGGGTCATGGTATTTCATCAAGCAATTATAACTCTAACTAAAACAACAAACAACAGGAAGAAAGTCTTGTGTCTCTCCCTGGGCTGACTTAGAATGATGCACCCAGAAAACAAAATAACCAAACCAACCAACTATTCCACATCCTCACTGATAAGCCAATGTCATGGAACATCTTCTCTAGAAGTAGTCAGCAAAAGTCTTTATAGCAAATCTAAGAACTGGTCAGTGTTAGATTTCACTTTGAATTTCACCATGCTCAAATTACAGGAAAACAATTGTGCTTGAGACTCCAATAAAAACAATAATAGTGAAACAACAATAAAAAGGACTAAAATACAAATATTGAAAAGAAATGTGCAAAATTGTGTCTTCAGGTAATAGGATAGTTTATACAGAAAACAGAAGCAGTCATGGCAGCCTGTGGATCAGATATAAGCTCTCAGGCACTGCTCTAGCACCCTGACTGCCCACCTGTTGCCATGTTTCCTGCCATGATGATCATGGACTCACTCTTGAAACTGCAAGCAAACCTTCGATTAAATGCTTTATTTGATAAGTTGCTTTGGCCATAGTGTCTCTTCATAGCAACAGAAAATTAACTAAAACATCTTCTGTTCCATGAGCATAGAATATCTTCTCTTTCCTGGTGCCATCCTGAACTTCTTTCATAAGCATTTCACATTTTTATTGTAAATATTTCTCATTTTCTTAATTCTATTTACTTAGAGCTCAAACAACTTAATAGCAAAGAGCCCAATTTAAAAATGGACAAATAAATGGCATATATAGACATTTCTTTAAAAAGACACAAGGAGGCTGCAGAGATTGCTCAGTGGTTAAGAGTGCCTGCTACTCTTGCAGAGGACCTGGGTTCAGTTCCTGGCACCCACATGGCAATTCATAACCACTGGCAACTGCTGTGGGATGTTCTGTATGTCCTGTGGGAGCCCTTCTTGGGTTCTTTGTGGCGTTACCCAGCAGGTCCGCATAGAGGATGATTAGGACCATGGGCCTGAGTGCAGGTGTCTGAGATGGTCTGCACTTGGCTGTGCTGGGGGATGGTCTGTATGTCAAGTTGTTCTGATTGATCAATAAATAAA